CACCCTGGACGAGGTGAGAGACACAAGATTCGGGGCATTTTGGGGGGGGGAAAGTGGTATCCTGGAATTGCTTGAGAACAACCCCCCCCTCCTCATCCCTCTCTCCCAGATTTACGCCTTCATGGACCTGCTGGTGGCCGAGAACCCCAACCTGGTGAGCAAACTGGAGATCGGCCGCTCCACCGAGGACCGGCCCCTCTACGTGCTCAAGGTGAGGGGTCGGGGTCTGGGGGGTGACTGGGGAAGGGGGAGTGGGGTCAGGGACAAAGGATAAAGCCAACTTCCACCTCTCTGCTGTCCCAGTTCAGCACAGGGGGCTCGAACCGCCCGGCCGTGTGGATCGACACCGGGATCCACTCCCGCGAGTGGGTGACTCAGGCCAGCGGGGTCTGGTTCGCCAAGAAGGTTTGGACACTCCCCACGCCCACCTTCTGTCCCCCAAAGGTCCTGCAGCCACTGTGGGACCCAAGGGGTGACCCCCAGGAGCCCCAAACCTCCTGTCCTCTGTAGATCGTCGATGACCAGGCCAATAACGAAGGGGTGGCCTCCATCCTGGACACCATGGACATCTTCCTGGAGATCGTCACCAACCCCGATGGCTTTGCCTACACCCACAGCACGGTACCACCCCCAGCTCCCCTTTCCTGCTTCCTACAGGGTGGGAAGTGGAGCAGGACTGGAATCCTGCACATCCCTGGGAGGTCAAAGCCTCCTTGTCCCTGTTCCCATGGGATGGGAAGGGGAGCAGGACTGGGGTCTTGCACATCCCTGGGAGGTCAAAGCCTCCTCGTCCCCATTCCCATGGGATGGGACTGGTGAGCAGGACTGGGGTTCTGAACATCCCTGGGAGGTCAAAGCCTCCTTGTCCCTGTTTCCACGGGATGGGAAGGGGAGCAGGATTGGGGTGCTGCTCCTCCCTGGGGGGTCAGAGCCTCCCTGTCCCATTCCCATGGGATGGGGAGGGCACTCCCTGGCCCTGCCCAGCAGCTGACGTGGCTCTACCCTCCCAGAACCGCATGTGGCGCAAGACCAGGTCCAAGTACTCGGGTAACATCTGCGTCGGCGTCGACCCCAACCGCAACTGGGACGCGGGATTTGGAGGTCAGAGCCTTCCCACTCCCCCGCCAGGGCGTTCCCACTCTCCAGGGGGAGGCTCCGAGGCCATTCCCGGTTCACAGATCCCTGGGGATGAGGTGGGATCTGCTCTGCGTGGCAGAGACAAGGGCTGGGAGCCCCACCAGGGTTTGATGAGCAGCAGAGCAGGGACCACAAGGGAAAGTCTCCACACAGATCTCCAGGAGGAGCCTCAAGAGTGTCCCTCGCCGGCCACATCTGAGGGGTGGGAAAAACTCTTGGGGATGGAAAGGGAAAAGACCCTTTTTCCCTGGGGACTCTTTGAGCCACCCAAGTGCCACCAAAGCCCACCCTGTTTTCCCTCTCCTTTTCCCCACAGGGCCTGGGGCCAGTGGGAACTCCTGCTCGGAGAACTACCAAGGTCCCTACCCCAACTCGGAGCCCGAGGTCAAATCCATCGTGGACTTCGTGACAGGCCATGGGAACATCAAGGCCTTCGTGTCCATCCACAGCTATTCCCAGCTCCTGCTCTATCCCTACGGATACACCACCACCCCGGCTGCAGATGAGCAGGAGCTGGTAGGGACCCTGGGGAGGTTTGGGGGGGAGTGGGTGACGTGGGGCTGCTCTTCTCCTCCTTCCAGGCACCTCCATCCTGCCCCGTGGAGGAGTGGAAAGCTCTGGCTCCTCTGCCAGCCCCTGGGAATTGAGCTTTGTGATCCTTTTTGCCTGTGGCAGGAGGGAAAATCCTCTCCCACAGGCTGGATCTCACAGGCTTTGACCTTCTGTGGCTCACCTTTTCCTCTTTTTTAGCTCATCTTCTTCCCTTTTCCCCTCCTTTGGCTCCATCTTTTCCCTTCCTGGGCTCATCTTTTTCTCTCCTTTAACTCACCACTTCCCCTCCTTTGACTCATCTTTTCCTCCTTTTTAGCTCATCTTTTCCCCTCCTTTTCAGCTCATCTTTTTCCCTCCTTTTCACCCTCTTTGACTCATTATCTCCCCTCCTTCTTCAATTCATCATTTCCCCTTCTTTGATTCATCCTTTCCCCTCCTTTGGCTTCATCTTTTCCCTTTCTTTGACTCACCTTTTCCCATTCTTTGCCTCATCATTTCCCCTCCTTTCCATCACCATTTCCCCCCCTTTGGCTCATCTTTTCCCCTCCCTTGCCTCACCATTTTCTCTCCTTCAGCTCGCCATTTTCCCTTCTTGGCTCATCTTTTCCTGTCCTTTGCCTCCTCGTTTTCCCTGCTTTGCCTCATCTTTTTCCCTCCTTTGATGCATCCTTTCCCCTCCGTTTACCCATCTTTTCCCCTCTTTTGGCTCATGATTTTCCCTCACGATTTTCCCTTCACGATTTTCCTCCATGATTTTCCCTCACAATTTTCCCTCATTATTTTCCCTATTTCCCCTCACGATTTTCCCTCACGATTTCCTCTCAAGAACTTCCCTCACGATTTTCCCTCATCGTTTTCTCCTCACGATTTTCCCTCATCGGTTTCTCATCACGATTTCCTCTCAAGAACTTCCCTCACGATTTTCCCTCATCGTTTTCTCCTCACGATTTCCTCTCAAGATCTTCCCACATGATTTTCCCTCATCATTTTCCCCCTCACGATTTTCCCTCATCATTTTCCCCTCACCATTTTCCCTCATCATTTTCCCCTCACCATTTTCCCTCATCATTTTCCCCTCACCATTTTCCCTCATCATTTTCCCCTCACCATTTTCCCTCATCATTTTCCC